AAACATTCTGCTGCATTGTAGCTCAAAAACAGACAAGAAGAGTTGCTGGCGCCCACACTGAGTGCTTCTCAGCTGCTGCAAATGAAAGATGGCTTTGGGGTTCAGGAATTCTTTGAACTCTGAGGTTCAGGATGGCTTTGAGGTTCAGCATAGAGGCACAAATGTCTCTTGGCTGATTTGGAAATGTTTTAATCTCTTCGTAACCTGCCTGCCAGGGCAGAGCCAGCACTGCTCCTAGCAGCACGGGATGGGGGGGAGCCAGACACAATTGGTGCATGCTGTAATCCTGGTAGTGCAAGGGCACTCCTGTAAACTAGTGATGCCACACCTATGCTTGCAGTGCTCATGGTGGAATATAATGCATCTACCAATGAGGGTTGTTTATTATTTTATTTAAAACATTTCTTTGTCACTGTTCTACCCAGGTCAGGGACTACAAAGACAGTGAGCTTAAACTTAATTTAATTAAAACATCTCAAACATTAAAACATTTCAGACATTAAGAAGCATTTAAAATAAAAATATAATTTTAAATAAAATATATTTTATTCACACGTAGGATAATGTACTTTTAATACACTTTTAGTGAATATTTGCAAGTGGGTTTTGAAGATTTGCACAGTAAAATCCAGTTGCAAGATGCATTGAAAGTGGATTGAAAGTAAAAACAGGCTGAATAAGAATTAGCGAAGGAACATCATGTTGGCAGAGTTCGGGAAATAATCCAATCCATGCTTTGGAGTTTGCTTTCATGAATTTACTGCAACAGGATTTTTGGGAAAAGACAATAACTGACTGCAGGTCACTAATATACAAGGGGAGCCTTCAAAGCAAAAGCACTAACATATTCTAACAAACAGAAGAGAGAGAAACAACAAGAGGTTGGCTGAACTGCAAGAAAAGAAATTCAATAAACCCCCCAACACTAGAGAATGCACCACAGCTCCTCCTAGGGTACAAGTGGACTAAACTACTCATTCAGAAGTATTTACAGTAACTAGATTCTTAGAAGGCTGTCGCTTCTCCAACACATCAGACAAAACAAGGAAGTCTTCACCCAGGTTAATCTTCACTCATGACTCCTGTGGAGGGAGTTCCAAAGTTTTGGCACCACAACCAAGAAGGCCCTTTCTTGGCTTCTCTCACAGCTAAGGAACAGCAAAGAACACACCACTGACTGAAAATAAATGCACAAGCAAATATCAAGTATATAATAATCATATAAGCATAACAGCAAGTATAATAAGAATCAATTGGCCAAGGTGCAAAAGCATAATAGAAGCACAGTCTACAGTCTTTCCATGAGTCTACTCCAAAATCCTTGACTGACCATTCTGGTTTATTATATGCCAGCTTTTGAGATTGGGTCCCATTACAGCCATGCTTGAATAAGAATTATTCGAAACGCGGCATCAGGCATCTGGATTACGCGTCGGCGTTTTATGGCTCAGAAAATTTGATGACTTACACTTCAATTTGGACTCTAATATTTGCTTCTATTTTGGAGTAGTCACATGGAAAGACTGTAGACTGTGCTTCTATTATGCTTTATTATTGTACCTTGGCCAATTGATTCTTATTATACTTGCTGTTATGCTTATATGATTATTATATACTTGATATTTGCTTGTGCGTTTATTTTCAGTCAGTGGTGTGTTCTTTGCTGTTCCTTGTACTGTACACTGGCTTCCCCCCCCCCTTTTTTTTTGGCTTCCCTCACAGCTAGCCTCAGATGGAAGGGCACCCAAAGCTGGGCCTGTAAAGATGACTGGAGTGGTTTGGGTAGGCTCTTATAGGAGTAGGAAGTCCTTCGGGTTTACTGGAACCAAGCTATATAAAAATCAACAGCAGCACCTTGAATTGGCAGCCAATTGGGAGCCAGAGCAGACGAACACAACCGGAGTGATCTGGTCCCTACGACCCACTCCAGTCAATTCTCTGGCCCTGCTTTGGGCATTCTATACCAACTGTACTGTACTGTAGAATCTTCAAGGGCAGCCCATGTAGAATGTATTGCAGTGATGTAATGTAGATGTTACTAGGGCATGCATTACAGTGACAAGATCTTTCCTGCTCAGGAAGGCCACATCTGGCTCACAGCCTGAAGCTGATGGAAGGCACCCTGTTTATCCAACAGGATGCCCGGGTCAAGTTGCATACCCAAGCTGTGAACCATCTGGATGAGAGTGCAACTCCATATATCCCAGTTCCTGGGTCAGAACTCCCCCTAAGATTTTGTTGGAATTAATGTATTGTGGGTCTGTACATTTCGCCTTCATATTTGTAAAACAGGGCAAGGTTAGGCTGCTGAAGAATGATGCACTCATGGTCTGTTTCATGGCAGAATTGGAATTGGAACCCTGGTCTTCCAGACCTAGTCTAGAACTATAACCATTATACCTCACTAGCTCTAATTTGATCTCCACTCAGTAACCTCCCAGAATATATTTCCTTGTTTCTTGCTCAAGACTGATTGGGGGGGGGGGATTAAAAAAGGAGGGAGGGGGGGGGGGGGAATTAAGAAACATGGGGGAATTTCAGACAGGCGCTATCTCCCGGTAGGGAACCGATTCTCAACCGGGTTCTGGTCTGTCATTTCAGACAGAACCCGGTTGAGAATCGGTTCCCTACCGGGATCTGACTGCCATTTTACACACAAAAGTCTCTGTTCCATATAGGAACCGGGAGGGAAGCGATTTACCTGTCAACCGCTGTCAACCGCTTCCGAGGAGTCTTCCGTTCCCTCTCCCGGTTCCGATACGCTTCTTTCCCGCCTTTTTTCGCCCGCGCGGGCTTTTTTTTTTTTTGAACGTTCGGCTTATAGCGGAACCTCTAAGGAGTCGCGTTCCAATGGGATCGTTATTGCGACCATTTGAGGTTCTGGTATAGCGATATATCGATATATCGCTATAAGCCGAACCTTAAAAAAAAATCGCTTACCCGCGCGGGAAGAAAACGGTGGGAAAACAAAGCGGTGCCAGTGTGAAATGCCAAACCGCTTGTGAATCGGCTCCTTTCCGGTAGGGGCAAGCCGTGTGTGAAACGGCAGCCCTGTACCGGTTCATCTGGAAACGGAAGACTCCCGGCTTGAAACCGGGAGAAGACTGGTAATGTGAAATTCCCCATGGTTTGGGATGAGTTTTTCATGTATTTTTCACCAAGAAACCAAAAAGAAGAAGGCTTTCTTCTTTGCCACATTTCATATCCTCTGCTTCTTTTTATTAATTTTCTTGCCTTGCCAGCTATATTACACTGTTCGCTGTTTACTAGGTTACAGACAGAAAATGAGCTGGGGAGAACTCAGTAATTACCATTCTTTATTCAATTATTCAGCATTAATTAGCAGGCTTGGTAGTTCAGGGACCGTTTCTCCTCACGTCAAAGCAGAGGTTTTCAGTTCAGAATGGCATCTGTCTCCCAGCGTTAGTGCAACAACAAAAATTAATAATGTATGGATTATGTCACAAAGGCAAAGGTGCAGCATTCATCTGTCTCTGTGGCATTTGAATGTCAGAAATGGTGAGAAAAACATTGCTGTCTACTGCAACCTCTGGGGGGAAATCTTGGCATGTTGGAATAAATATTGATACTTAGTGTTGCATTACATTTCAGATTTCTGACATATTTTTAGGGGAGAAAAGTGATTAGTTCCTTTTAAAAAAAGTAGGATTGCTGAGGTGAAATGACATTGTTTCAGGTGGTGAAGTAGGCATTTATTATTCCTTGCCCATATAAGGGGATAGTTGCTGTTCATGTTCCAGTCATAAGGGGGCAGAAGTGAGCTTGTTTGGTTTGGGCGGGAAAAGTAAGCCTAGTCAATGGAAAATTCCACTCTGGTGATGTAAATGATGACGTGTAACCTTGTTGCAGTATAAAAGCCTGGAGCCTGCATTGCTCTGGGTTCAGTCTGTTTAAAGCGTGCTTCGCTGACTGAACCGGCGCCAATAAAGTTCTTCTCCTTCTGTTGATCTGGTGGTCTGTGCTTGGGCTTAGGCCCCTTTCTCCGTGCTACATTTCTGGTTCCCTGACCGGGAAAGGGGGGAGCACCCAACCAAGGCCGGGTTGTTGGGGCCCTCCTGAGCCACGATTTTGAAGAGAACCGCACTGACTGAGGACTGTTTGGCGGCAAAGGCGCCATTTTCGATTTCGAAAAGCCGATCATTCACTCCTCTCCAGGGCTGGTTCTCACCAAAGTCGCTTGCTCAGTGAACTCAGCCAGGAGGAGAACATCAGGGGAAGACTCCGGAGTCCAGTCTGGTCAGAGTCAGGTCAGTATTAATCGGTATCGGTCCCCTTCAGTTGAAGGGAAGAGGAAGCCTGATCACCTTCCTATCGGGTCAGTTTCTGTCAGGCAGGCTAGGAAAGCCTTGGCTTTCCTATGATCAGGGTGGGATCTGTGTTGAAGTGAATGCATGGTGTGTGAGTGTGAAAAGGCGGACTCCCGTAATAGGAGAAAGTCAAATTGAATTGTGGTCACCTCAAGCTCGCATTTCTCAGTCGAGAGATCGCATCTGAGTCGGGTACAGGTGGAAGCATTTGTGGTTAAGGTCTCCCTTTTATGTGTCTAGGAGCAGTGGACCCCTTACCACTCTCCCTGTTTACCCCACCCTCTGTATACCCAGCTGTCTGTCTTTTGTCTGTTCAAAATGGGAGGGAGTCAGGCAAAGCCCAAAACCCCTCTTCAGTTTATGCTCAAGCACTTTGAAGAAATTTTTGGCACAGCCACTCATGGCGTAGTTTTAAATCCAGTCTGTCTGCAGACATTTTGTGAGGTAAACTGGCCTGCGTTTACAGTGGGATGGCCACCAGAGGGCTCCATGGATCTCTCTCTGCTACACAGAGTCTATCTGGCAGCTACGGATCCCCAAGAGGACCATTCCGATCAGCAGCTCCATTATGTCTACTGCTGGTATGAATATGTGAGGAAAAATCCTTCCAAGGCCAAGCGATTTAAAACCCGACAGGGCTCTGCCCCAGCAGCCAACCAGCCTATAGTTTGCCCAACACCAGGAACTATGCCAGCAATTTGTCCAACCCTGAATACCCCAGAAAGCAGGCCCCAAGGCCCCCAAGTGACTTGCCCGCCACCGGAGGATGATTGGCCCCCACCATACTCTGCTGGGCCATTGCCACCGCCTCCTCTTCCAACTCCGCCCCCAGAAGCAAGAGTGACTAGATCACAGACTGCGCAGGCCCGTGCCGCCCAAGAACTTGCAGCCCAGGAGCAGCTTCAGGAACTGCAAATCAGTGAAGCGCTTAGCCCTTCAGTGCCAGTCTCCACCATTTATCCATCCTTAGTGGACTGTTTGGCTACTGCCTCTGCTCCTGAACCTGAGACCCCTGTCACTCCCATACCTAAGACAGTCCTTAAGAAAAATCCGACAACAGGGACCTGGAGCCCCGCCACTCATTGGAGTCCTACATCAGGACTCAGTGAAATGAACCCTTTTAAAGTGCCTGTAGGCAAATCTCAGGAAACTGGCAATTTAGCAACAGTCTGCCCTCTCCGTCAAGTTCCAGCAGGAGCGGATGGGATTATGAGATGGGTCTATTCTCCTTTCAGTACTGTCGATCTCTGTAATTGGAGAACACAGACGACCCCATATAGTGAAGACCCCCGACCCATGACAGATCTGTTTACAACAATTATGGCTACACATGCCCCTACCTGGCGAGATTGTAGCCAGTTACTTACTGCTTTATTAACTTCAGAAGAGAAGCGGAAAGTCATGGCAGCTGCTAAGAAAACTGTTGAAAACAGAGTCCCTGCTGACCAACAGCCTAATGCAGCTGACTGGGTTCGTGCCCGCTTCCCAGATATAGACCCAAATTGGGACCCCAATGTAGATGCAGATAGAGGAAGATCAGAGGAATACCGAACTGCCATCCTCTTAGGTCTCCAGGAAGCAGGAAAGAAGCCCATGAATATGGCTAAATTGAGGGAGGTCATTCAAGAGCCAACTGAGCCACCCTATACCTTCCTTGAAAGACTGTACAAGGCTTACCGCCTCTACACTCCTTTTGACCCAGAGGAAGAAGCAAACCGTACAATGGTGAATGCATCTTTTGTTAGCCAGGCTGCACCTGACATTAGACGCAAATTACAGAAGTTAGAAGGGTTCCAAGGGATGAACGTGTCCCAATTAATTGAGGTGGCCCAGAAGGTTTTTGTGAATAGAGATAAAGAAGAGAAGAAAGAAGAAGAAGCTAAGCATAGACGAAAGGCAGCAATTTTAGCAGCAGTGATCCAAGGCCATGAGTATGACCGCCCGTCCCCAACATCCAACCTTGAGCCCCGTGGTCCTAGAACCCTAGGCCGGGACCAATGTGCATACTGTAGAGCGGATGGCCACTGGAAAAACGAATGTCCGAACCGCCAGTCCAGACTCCGGGGGAGGGGAGGATCTAGAGGCCAAGGAAGAGGACAGAGCTTTAACCACCTTCCAAGAGGGCAAGTTAATGAAAGCCGGTACAGCCGCACCTACCCTGCAGGGAAGTCGGAAGATGGCTTTGTTGGTATGGCCGGAATGAACTATGATGATTAGGGGCGACCGGGCTCTGTCAATTGTGGCCCTCGGGAGCCCTTGGTCCGCTTAAATATTGAAGGAAATCCTGTTGATTTCATGTTAGACACGGGGGCTGAAGTATCCATTGTAACGACACCCATTGCTCCGCCCACTAAAGATAGCCTAACAGTTGTAGGCATGGCAGGGAAGAAACTTGCTCTCCCATACCTCCAATCAAGAACCTGTTCTCTAGGAGGTCACCGGGTCACCCACCGTTTTCTCTTAAATCCCAGCTGTCCGATTAATTTGCTTGGGAGAGATCTTTTATCTAAAATGCGTGCCTCCATAACCTTTGATACTCCGGATGGCTCAGCACTTCTGTCCTTACCTCCAGAGACTCAAACTTCACTAGTGTGTTGTAATTTAGAGGTTGATGCTACAGAAGAGTGGCGACTTCCTGAGGTCCTAATGGGATGTGGATTTAGAAGACACCCTGATGGTGACCCTGAAGAAGTCCAGTATCAGACTGATAAAGATGCTTTTTATGACAAGGAAAAGGTGCAGGATAAATTGTACTACCGAAATGAAGTGCCAACTGTATGGGCAGAAGATAATCCCCCAGGCTTTGCTAAACACCAACCTCCTGTAGTTGTGGTCCTTAAACCTACTGCCAATCCAGTGAGAGAGCGTCAATACCCTATTCGTGAAGATGCCCGAAGAGTGTTAACCAAACACTTTCAGAGACTCCTGAAAGATGGCATCCTGATCCCCTGTGAATCTGCCTGGAATACTCCGATCCTTCCAGTACCTAAGCCTTCTCCAGACCCCAAGAATCCTGATTACCGCCCAGTCCAAGACCTGAGGGCAGTGAATACTCAAGTAGAAGCTATCCACCCTGTAGTGCCAAATCCCTATACAATCCTGACTCTGATTCCATCCACGGCTGCATGGTTTACTGTCTTGGATTTGAAAGATGCGTTCTTCAGTATTGGACTTCACCACCAGTCCAGAGACATCTTTGCCTTCGAATGGAGAGCCCCTGGAGCCTCCAGCCCATGTCAGTACACTTGGACTCGTTTGCCCCAAGGCTACAAAAATTCTCCTTCATTGTTTGGACAGGCCCTCGGTAAAGACTTAGAGAACTTTGACACCCAAGAAGGGGTCCTTACCTTAATCCAATATGTGGATGACTTGTTACTTTGTGCCCCTGACCCTCATCGATGTTCCCAGGGCACCCTTAACCTTCTCCGTCTCCTTGATGCCTGTGGCTATAAAGTCTCATTCAAGAAGGCCCAGATCTGCTTAACTCGAGTCCAGTTCCTAGGATTTGAAATCTCTAAGAATCAACGGTCTCTCAGTAATGCAAGGAAAGAAACTGTGTGCCAGATACCTCTACCCCAGAGTCGCAAAGAGCTACGAGGCTTCTTAGGTGCAGCTAGCTACTGTCGGTTATGGATTCCCTCCTTTGCTCTTTTGGCCAAACCCTTATATGAAGCTACCAAAGGGGGGACACAGGAACCTTTTGTCTGGGGCCCAGATCAAGATGTTGCCTTTAGGACCCTGAAACAACGGCTCATTGAGGCTCCTGCCTTAGGACTGCCAGATCCAGAAAAACCTTTTTCCCTTTGCGTAGATGAGAAGCAAAGTGTTGCTTTAGGTGTCCTTCTCCAGAAACTTGGGACTCACAATCGGCCTGTGGCCTACCTTAGCCAAAACCTGGATGCTGTAGAAGCCGGTCTGCCCCCTTGCTTACGTGCTGTTGCTGCCTGCTGTAGACTTATTGAAGCAGCAAACAAATTCACCTGGGGAGCCCCACTCACAGTGTTTGTATCACACGGAGTTAAGACCATTTTAGAAGCTCGTGGTCACAAATATCTGACAGTTTCACGTATGGCCAGGTACCAAGCAGTTCTCCTCGAGAACCCAGGTGTATCTCTAGCTCCTGTCATCAACATAAATCCAGCCACCTTGTTGCCAGTACCATGTGAAGATGTTGAGCATGATTGCCTAGTAACCACTGACCAGCTGTTTGCATCTCGTCTTGACCTTCGTGACCAACCCCTTCAGCAGCCAGACTTAATATTGTACTGTGATGGTAGCAGTTTCATCAACCCTCAAGGACGTCGCAAAGCAGGCTATGCTGTTGTAGATGACCATCAGGTGATACAAGCAGAATCTCTACCCGTTGGAACATCTGCTCAACTAGCAGAAATAATAGCCCTGACAGTTGCCCTACATCTAAGCAAGAATGCAGCTGCAAATATATTCACCGATTCAATGTTTGCTTTCAAGGCAGCCCATGCACATGGAATGCTGTGGCAACACCGAGGATTTATTACAGCCGCTGGAAAGGATATCAAATATGGGCCAAATCTTCGTCTTCTGCTAGAAGCCATCAATCTGCCAACTAAGATTGCAATAATCCACTGTCGAGGACATCAACGGAAGTCTGACCCAATTGCAGAAGGAAATGGTCGTGCTGATAAAGCAGCTAAGGAAGCAGCAGAAGGAAAACTTTGTCTCCGCACTCTAGTTCCTAGTCCGTCAGTCTTAGCCTGTCCTGTCTTCCCCACTCCAGTCTCAGCTTGGACGCCTCGTTACACCAAACATGAAGACTACCTCTGTGACCAGCAATCAGCAAAAAAGAATGAGGAAGGTTGGTGGATCTTGCCAACAGGAAAAATTTGGATTCCAGCCTCCTTAGGCTATGAAATAATGAAAGCCCTTCATGCTAATACCCATTATGGATCTTCCAGTCTTGTTAAAGCCTTAGACCGCTGGGCTCATCTGGAACGGAAGACAGCATTAGCAGACCTCGTGTGCCGTCAGTGTGTTACCTGTGCCCGAAACAATCCTAGAGAAGGTCCCCGACGACCTCCAGGAATCAATACCCCAGGACCAGCCCCAATGACTTCGCTTGTTGTTGATTTCACCGAGATGCCAAAAGTTGGTCGTCATCACTACCTGTTGGTGTTTGTCTGTACGCATACTGGATGGATAGAAGCGTTTCCAACTGCCACTGAAAAGGCCTCAGAAGTTGCCCGAGCCATGTTAAGGGATCTAATTCCAAGATTCGGATTACCTACCTGGGTTTCCTCTGATAATGGACCAGCCTTCATCTCTGAATTAACTCAGCAAGTTGCCAAAGCCTTAGGAATCATCTGGAAATTACACTGTGCCTATCGTCCCCAGAGTTCAGGAGCAGTAGAACGAGCTAATAGAACTCTTAAAGCCTCCTTGCGGAAGTTCACCCAAGAGACTGAACAGCCATGGCCTAAGATTCTACCTCTAGTGTTATTCCGACTGCACTGCCTCCCTTCCAAACGAACTTCAGTTTCTCCTTATGAGGCAATGTTTGGCCGTCCTCCCCCACTGACCATGGGAGTTCATACCGATGCTTATGGGTTTCATCAGTTAATCACCTCAGCAGAATTACAAGCCCTTGGACGACAAGTTGAGAAACTCCAAAGACATTACTCTGCCTGTCTCCCAGTTCCCTTGTTTGATTCTGTGTGTCATGTCAGTCCTGGAGATTCAGTATGGGTTAAAAATTGGAGACCAGAGCCCTTAGGGCCAAGGTGGGAGGGACCTTTCACTGTTTTACTCAGTTCCCCTACAGCTGTGAAGGTCGTTGAGAGGAAACCCTGGATCCACTGGACGAATTTGAAGCTTGCCCATACTAGATGGACTGCTGAGCCAGGATCTAATCCTACTACTGTGAAGCTTAGACGTGTCGTGCCCAGTAATCCAGCAAGCTCTGCTTCTCTTGGGCCCACGCCCCAAGAGGACACAGCTGAAGATTGACTCCAGAACCCCTGCTGAGACCTACCGGAAACGGTCTCCCTGCGCACGGGTGAAAAATCAGACCTTCGTTGGAGCATCAGGCCCTGCTCTAGTCACACCGGAAGCTGACTAGTCGACGCACAGGCCCAAGATGTGGATGCTTCTGTTAAATTGTGTTTTTGTACCTTCTATGATCTGCATCCCAGTTATGGGGTTTCCTGCTTGTACCTCTTGCATTACTTCCACTTTTCGTGAAGGTCAAGTCTCACAAACCCTCATTTATCATTCTGACTTTGATTGTATTTCGTCTGTAGTTACCCAATGTTCTCATGAGGGCATAAGTTACAGTGTTTGTGTAAATCAAGGGAAATTTATGTGCTTTCGACCCCAGTCCAATGTGACTCGGGCCCGTATTAATGTTTATGCTTATATTAGTGGATGGTACACAAGTCCTGATACTTTCACCTCTTCCCTTTTAGCGTCCAATGTCACTTCCCAGTCTAGTCAAAGTATGCAAGTCTGTTTTGACATATGTCATGCCATCTCTCGAAGTCGAAAGTATAGTGCAGGGGAAATTAGACAAACGTGTGGAGGGCTAGCTAAAGAGCAGAGCTATGCCAAAGAAGGGAAAATGTTTCTGTCATCAACTTATGAACTTGAAGCACAAGTCTGGTATGTCTCTAATGATGGTAATATCTCAGATGGACCTCAAGGTGGAATAGTGGGAGGAGGGAAAGCCCACCCGTACTTTAAGTTATCCCAGGGAACTAGTCTAACCCCTTGCAGCCATAACCACTGCACTCCCTTGTGCTTACATTTCCGAGCATCCGAGAACCAGGGAAGAAAGAAACTGATGTATGGGGTTGGCATAGATATTGGTGGTCGAAAAAGTCCATACGGACGCATTGTCATAGAAACTATTAGTTCAAAAATCCAAAGCACTGAAATGAAGATTCACACAACCTTTTGGTCAGAAATGGGGAAAGTAATAGAAATCCCCCCAGTGACCAAGAATCTATTTATCGATCTTGCTGAAAGAATTGCAGGAGAACTATCAGTTAAGAATTGTTATGTCTGTGGAGGTACCAATATGGGAGAACAATGGCCCTGGGAGGCCAAAGAGGTAGAACTTAATAATATCTCCCATGCTTTCAACCTTTCCTGGAATAATATCCACCGCCCCAGTAGATGGATCCTGAAAAATCCCTTAGTTGGTCATACTTGTTTTATACGACAGGGAGCTCCTTTTAACATTTCAGTGGGAGCCCTAGATTG